GTGGAGATGAGGAGAATGGAAGGGATTCAGTAGTTTAACAACAGGCAACTGGGCAGCACTGACACCAGTTCTTGCTATTTTAGTCAAAAAAATGTATGTAGTCATTCCAGAAGAGGAAATAATGAGCTGAGTGCATTTTTGGCAGATCTTTGTCTGCACTTGCAGGGTCTTAAAAAGGATAAAACATGGCAAAATGTGCAGGTACGGCATATTGTTTACCCTGGAACATGATTTCTTAACCTGTGACACTCTGTGCATATTCCCACCCAGCTCACTGATGTCAGCATTGCCAGGAGCTGAGCAGGGCGCTCTGGCTGGTGTCCCACTGAGCTCCTGGCGACCAGTGACGTTAGTAAGCTGGGCGAGTGCACTGACAGCGGGGTCTGACGTCCGCCCTCCTTCCCCAGACACAAATCAGCGCAACAACTACGAGTCCACCCCCCCTCCTGGTGAACATTTTCTGCCAGCAACCCCATCGGTTCAGGTGGCGAAAAACTTAAGGACAGCCCTGAATGTGCTGGCACATTTTGCTGCAGTCACCTCAGCGTTCTCTTCAGCCTGTCTCCTCCTGCGCTCAGGTGGTCTAAGCCCCACGTGAGTCATCACATCCTATATAGTGTATAGGATGTGAGGATGCCGAGGGGCAATCTATTTTCTGTAGTGGATGGGGAGAGAAGCTGAAGGGATCAGTCTAGGAGCCAGGATCACGGTTCGGGTTAGTATATCTTTGTTATTTTAGATCCCTAGGCAAAGCAAGCACTTAACCCTTGCAGTACAGTGGTAACCCCACTGCAGGGGTAATCTTTTGTTTGCCCAGAGTTCTTCTTTAAAGCAACCTGGTAAGTAAAAAGAAAAAGGTTTTCTTATCTAACCCCTTATTAACAACAAGTTTCTCTAATAAGCGTAAATTGTGCTTTCTTGCCCTTCTCTTCCTAACTTCTCTCCCTCACTTTTACTTTCCTGCCATTTTTATTTCAATTTTTAAGTCAATAATATTGAACTTGTATTTACATTTTTTAGTTTTGTTTTGCTCATTAAATTTGTTAGTGTAACATTAAAAACACATAATTGAGAGAAAAAAAATCATTTGTAAATAACTTTGCAAAGCTTTGTACCAAAATCTGAATTTCATTGTCATTTTAAATGTGAACAATTATAGAATAAAATGTATACTTTTTATCTACAGTAAGGATTGTTGGTGCGCTGGTGACAGATACTGGTGCATGCTCTACGGGAATTGTCAGTGCTTTATTAAGATGGGCCGGATCAACAGTGGGGACAGCCCATTCCTAATGAAGGACCCCTCAAATTGGTCCCCTGCAAAACATTTGGGAATTGTAAACAATTTATCAGGAGTTTCCCAGTCAATGTGCAGGAAGTCTGCGAATGAGTAAGTTTAGTTGTATTAGAGCGCATTAGGGATCCTAGAGAGGGAACAACATTCCAGTCTGTCAGTGTCCTAATGAAGGATTTCAAGGACTTAGGTGAGACATTTAAGAAAAGGACCTCCAAGGTAGTATTTTTAGAAATACTTCCTGTGCCACGAGCTACACCAGAGCGGCAGATACAACTTAGATAACTGAACAAGTGGCTGCTAAGCTGGTGTGGATAGGAGGGGTTTGTTTTTTGGAGAACTGGGCTGACTTCTCAGTCGGCTACCGCCTCTACAGCAGGGACGGACTGCACCTCTGCTGGGGGGAAAAAATTTAAATAGGTTGGGGGGGCATTTAAATAAGGATGGGCTGATTGTTCGATTCGAACATGAGTTCGAATCAAACATCGGCAGTTCGAGTGCTCGCCGAGCGCCAAACTTTATGGGATGTTCGCGGTCTGTTCGACCGCGTACATTCCATAATACAAAATGCCCACTAAAGCTCTGATTTGTTAAAGTCTTGCACCTGACCACAGGTCAGGTGCAAGACTTTTCCCAATCAGGGCTCAGCGGAGGAGGGGCCTGAAGGAGAAAGTTCTCTATCAGGTCCCCCCATGTGGGCGGGTGCAGTAGCCAGCTTGCTATTGGCTATTGCAGTTCCAGGGGGGTCCTGGAACTGCAGAGAGTTCAGAGGAGGGTTACAAAATGAATAAAAGAGATAGAAGGCCTGAGTTATGAAGACCGCATTCAAAATCTATAATTATTCAGCTTAAAAAAAAAGGTGATTAAGAGGGGACCTTATTGCAGTCTTCAAAAACATCAATGGGGATCACAATATTAGGAACAAACTGTTTAATCCAAAAACTATTTTGAGAACTCGGGGACAGTCTTAGAATTTGCAAGGGGTATTTCACTGTGAGAGTGGTGAAAGTTTAGAATTCCCTACCAAAGACGGTGGTATCTGCTAATAACATTGATAAATTCAAGAAACTTCTGTATTTCACAGAATCTACAGGGATATGTCACTATCTTACTTTGTTGGACAACTCTGTAAGCTTTCATTTTTGTTGGTGTCTTCCTTTCCTAGCGACCCCCTTTCTCCTCAATGTTCTAGTGTCAAATGGTATAAAAGATGAGGGGGAGTCTCCACAGAGACTAGGCAATAAATACCTGACAGAAGTTCTCAGAATATTCAAAACTAATAAGAAATGTTTAGGCTGGAGAAACACTTTGATAAAATCACATCAAACTGATCAGTTTAAAAAAAAAAATAGCTTCCAGCCCATCTTTAATTATCCAAGCAATGCAGCTAAAGGAAACCGATTACTGTGGAACAAACTTGTGGTCTTTGTCTCACACAATAGTAGCAGAATAATTTACAGTGCATTCATTAACATGTTAATATTTACTCTGCTTATTATGAAAATTAATTGGTAGTGAAAATGCTGTGTCAGTTAAAAAGTGGTGTACTTGAATACAGTTTTTTTCCACTAGAGATGTGAAGCTACAGGATATTGATCTGTTTAGGTTTTAGAATCACTGGCAGATATACATAATGCATTCTATCAGATTTCCCCTGGTGTCGGTTGCTTAGTCTCCGTATGTCAGTTTTACATAAAAATCAGACTGGCGGTCCAGATTATAGGACAAAGTGAGAGGAAGGAGTTGTAAATCTAGAAGATTGTCTCTCTGTTTCTGACCTCTGCCGCATGTTGTGATACAGTATGTTCAGTGGGAGAGAATTGCGTGATATAAATAAATAAACGTATGATATTATCATTATTTGGTAATTATATATTCATCCTAATTATACACTTTACATAGTTAATTGATAAATTCAGTAAAACAACATTAAAAAAATGCCCACCCCACCCACATCTTTCTATTTCCTGTGAGGCTGCCCATCATAGTAATGTAGTGATAGGAGGGGGTTGGAGGTGGAAGTAGCTTGCCAGCTTTCAACAGAGCTTCTGATAGGATATTGCCAATTACATATGTATTTCAAAGTGTATTTTATACTGCCATAAACTACATTCCCAACAGTGGCTGGGGAAAAATGGGTTCCTTGTATTTTGCTTGTATTTGTACTGTTGAAGAGTGTACATTACAGTAGGTAATGTGTACCTAAGACATACTATGTAAAAGCATGTAATATGTATTATGACTAATTGCCAGTATTGAATGATTTGTTTTAGACAGAAAGGGGTTAATTTACTAAAGGAAAACAGGCTGTTCACTTTGCAAGCGAATATACACTTTGAAGGGGTCATTTTCCTTCGCTTGGTGAATGTGGTGAAATTTCACTTATCAAAGAATACCCAATCACGTGCAAGGAAAATTTTAAAAAACTGTATTTTTTCTTGCACATGATTGGGCGATGGGGGTCAGTAGAGCTTCACCTCATTCACTAAACTAAATCGGAACTTCTCCTGCAAAGGGATCATTCCTTTTCAATGTGACCATCCCATTTGCCTTTAGTAAATCAGCCCCAAAGAGTGTGAAATATTTTTTTTATTATTATTATTTGAGAGTGTCTCACAGCCAGAGTGGTTTCAACATCGAGTTTCACTGTAGACTAATAAAACATTTTAAAGTTATCTTTACTAGTATAATGGTTGTCTATCCATAAACGGGAGCAAGGTTATCGACACTGGGGCAAAAATTAAGCTTGACTTGAGCCGAGACAACCTATCCAATTTTATGTTTCATTTCAAAACTGTAACCTGAATGGATTCCATAGACAACTGTGCCTCTAGTTTTCTTTATGTTTTTTCCTAATCAGCTAAAGTGTAATCACTCCTCTCAATCTGGCCATGTCTCTTAACTCAGTTTGTGTAGGACAGTGAGCAGGCTTGGACCAAGGTGTTGCTGAAGAGCCTGGGGGCCAGTCAACCTCAACATCACACCATAACATTATTATTGGTGATATTTTTTGTTTGCTTACTTTCTCTTCTTCCTATGACCTTTCTGTATAGTCACTGCGAAAAACAAAATGTGAACAAAATGTCAAAACATGTTTGGAGATGATGACACAAAATTTGGCAGGCTTTGCTTATTTTACTGGTCAGTTTATTCTTTATTATAAATTTAGCATCAGCCAACAAGACCACTTTGATCATTTTATCATTCAAAGCTGTTCAATGAATTTCATAATTGCATACTCTTTTCTGCATTTCAATGTGGGGAAAACTTTGCAAGGAAAGTTTTCCTTTGGTTTAATTAATGAGTAGATTCTCTGCTGACTTTCATCACTCAATCATGTGCAAACAAATATACAGTTTTTTAAAATGTACTTGCACATGTTTGGGTATTCTTTGGAAACGTTACCACATTCACAAAGCTAAGGGGGAAATTTTCCCTGCAAAGTGCAAATTCCCTTGCAAAGTGAACAGCCCATTTCCCTTTAGTAAAACAACCCCACATTGAAATGCAGAAAAGAGTATGCAATTATGAAATTCATTGAACAGCTTTGAATGATAAAATGATCAAAGTGGTCTTGTTGGCTGATGCTAAATTTATAATAAAGAATACATCAACCAGTGGGTTGATTTAGTAAATCAACCCACTGTACATCTTATCTGAGTTCACTTTTGCAGTTTGAGTTCAATTGTGTTTATTTTTTTTGCAGGTAGCCTCCCTTGGAGTTACCACATTCACACTGTGTGCCCTCTGCATTGACCGCTTCCGTGCTGCCACAAATGTCCAAATGTATTACGAAATGATTGAGAACTGCACATCAACAACTGCCAAGCTGGCTGTTATATGGGTGGGCGCACTCCTCCTAGCACTGCCTGAGGTTGTACTGCGTCAGCTGACCAAGGATGAGTCTGCAATAAGTGCCAACACTCTCAGTGAGCGCTGTGTTGTTAAAATTTCTACCGATCTTCCCGATACCATTTATGTTTTAGCTCTTACCTATGATGGTGCAAGACTTTGGTGGTACTTCGGCTGTTATTTTTGTTTGCCTACCCTCTTCACAATTACGTGCTCCTTGGTAACAGCAAGGAAAATCAAAAGAGCAGAGAAAGCTTGCACAAGAGGAAATAAACGTCAAATTCAACTTGAAAGTCAAATGAACTGTACTGTAGTAGCGTTAACAATTTTATATGGTTTTTGCATAATCCCTGAAAATATATGTAACATTGTAACAGCTTATATGTCTACTGGGGTCTCCAGGCAGACTTTGGATCTCCTTCATCTGATCAGTCAATTTCTTTTGTTCTTTAAATCATGTGTTACCCCGATCCTTCTGTTTTGCCTTTGCAAGCCTTTTAGTAGGGCTTTCATGGAATGCTGTTGTTGCTGTTGTGATGAATGCATTCAAAAGTCCTCAACTGCAACAAGTGATGATAATGACAATGAATATACTACAGAGCTGGAACTTTCCCCATTCAGCACTATACGTCGTGAAATGTCCACATTTGCATCTGTGGGAACTCACTGTTAAACCTAAATGTTGATATTGACCGTATTTGTAAATATTCCGTGATACACCTTTTCAATGATTTTTTTTTGTTAGTTCACAATTTTTTAAAAGAAGCATTTGACTTGTAAGGTCTGTTTTGGTATCTATATTTATTATGTTTTAGGTCTCCTAACAGGGTACATTTCTGAAAAAAACTAATAACTTGTTTTTGCACCTTAAAGAGCAAGTTCACCTTTATTACAATTTATACATCTATTTCCTTGTCTTCTTCATTTTCTATTTACTGATCGTTCTTTCCCCATTTTTTATAATACATGTGGAGCCCCTATTTTGACAGAAAAAAAGGCGTCTGGGACCATGATATCCTAATGGTAACTGCCAGTCATGCATAGTCTACCACAGTGTAGGTCAAGTAAAGCTCAGAAGGGAAGCAGCGTATACAGGGAAGTTTTTGTTTTTAAAGGTTAAACCCATTTATATGATAATGAATAAAAGACAATTGTATGTAGCATCTAAGGGTGAGATACAGTATGTTGCTAATTACAGCTGAACTCCAGGCAGGTATTAAATAAACTGGAGATTTAAAATAAAAATAAACATTCTTAAAGTAAGGTAATATACATACCCAAATTTGTAATTCCCAGCAGGATTTAGACTGAGGGTAGAAGTCAGGCTCTACTGCATTGCACAATGCTGTCAATCTGACAATGAGAACTTGTTGACAGAAGATGGGAACCGAATGAGTAGAGTAAAAACTTTACAAGTGTGCCGATGTTTATTCATTGTGCAGTCAGAAGGCTGAAAGTGATTTGGTGGCCAAGTTTTAATACTTACCTGCAGCCAAGAAAACATAGGTCATCAACGTAACTGTACTTTCAAGGTAGGCTGAATGGAATATTAGATACTTTGACAGGTAAAACAGTAAACATGTATGCATCTCATTTGTGTTTGCTCAGATTTCAGCATATACCTTAATGTGAAACGTCATGTTATTGTAGCTGAAGGTGAACTTACACTTTAATTAGTTAGAAATTAGCTTTTTGATAATCATACAACTGGGTAAGTTTTTAAATATTCTATAAAACTAGGTGAATTTATTAAACTTCAAGGTGGTTTGCACTGATATTAAATATTGTAATGTTTTGTTTATCTTAACATTTCAAAAACTAGCTGTTGAAAATAAATTTTATTTTGTTTTTTAAGAAATGGTTTTATTAATGTAATTTTATCTCAAATATATAATGTAACATTTACTACACCAAACTATAAATGTTTTTGTATTTAGCCTTCTGCACTCAGCATTCACATGCATTCAATCTGTCAGATATTAGAAGGTAATCAAACGACTTAAGCTAGTCATACACAACTCAAGCTCGCCATGCACTGTTCTATTTTTTTTTGTTCCACCCGCGGGCTGAGCAAAAAAAATAGAACAGATATCTCCATCAATTCTTCCCCTGCTGTTTCCTTTGTATTCTGACAGTGGCCACACGAATGGTGCCTGCAGCTGATCGACTGAATGATGCTTGCAGCCAAATCTTCTAAATGAGGGATGAGGACTGAAAGGGTTCCGATAGTGGTACTCACTGGGCAAATTTCATGAAGAACTGGCCCAAATTCGCATAGTGTGTGGCCAGCTTAAAGTTGGTCCATGCAAATAGTACCTCGCCAAGGAATTTCTGAAGACATAATTCATAAGGTCAAAATACATTATTAAAGAAGTTCTCCACACAAAAGTTTTTTTCTTTACAAGGCTTTATTATGTGGTCTATTTTTAGGAATCCTATTGTTTCTCTCTCTGTCTGTCTGTCTATCTGCTGCTTCCTAGCTACCAGGAGCAAGGCTCTGACAGTTATTTTGAATAAGGTTTTTTAAGACATAGACAGTTGCTTCGGACCTTGCTGTCAAACAACCAAGCACAAAGTCCACAACTTTATTATCCACCCCTTACATCAAAAGATGTGATGTGATGTCATATGCTCCGCCTCCAAGATGGCGGTGGGCATGCGCAGAAGACGCCGGCAGCCAATAAGTCCACCTCACATTCTGAAAATGAATTGATGGTTGCTGAATATAGGTTTCCAATATATATATTTGGGGCATATAATACATTTCTTATTTCGGATTTGGACGAACAGCCGAAGCAACTGAATTTTGTTTATTTGCAGGTTCGTCCAAATCCGAATGCACATGTCTTGTGTGAAGGACCTTGGTGGCCTCCACAGAACCCTGGTGTGAACTCTATTAAACACCGTGTGGATTATTTGGAACGTTGATTGGGAGCCAGGTTTTTGTCCAGCAACAGTACCTGACATAACACATGCTCTTTTGGCTAAATGGGCACAAATTCCTAGAGACACAATCCAAAACCAGATGGAAAATCTTTACAGAAGAGTGGAGGCTGTTAAAGTTGCAAAGACAATTTGGGTTGGTCAACTCCATATTAATGCCAATGATTTTCGAATGGATTTCCAACAGCTCATATAGGTGAAATATAATCTATTTAATAATGGCTTTGAGATTTAGCTTCAATTGGAGAACTTTCCAGGCAGTCCACTCAGAAAACATAGGTTTTAGGGCTGCTGCTCACTTTTACTTTTCAGCAATAGTACCTTTTATATATGGGTTGTCCTCCCAGGGGTTCTCAGCATCATGCAGATACAAACTAAATCTTCAGCCTCCTGGGTATTTGGTCTGCTCACCTCTGTCTCTCTGTGCAAGACTATGATCAACTAATTTTTCATCAGACATCAGTTTGGTCAAGGCATTTGTCTATAGAGCCAGTCTGGCTTGGACACATGCGCCTTGTGTGTCCACACAATGCTCCCGCAGCAATCTTTCTCATGGGGAGGACGCAATGGCTGGCTAAACTGAATAACTTTTGTGGGCCAAACCAACCAGTCTCCAATTATGTTTACACCTGATCAGACACATTTTCTCTGTTGAAATAAGCTATGTCTGCATCTTTAGATAGCGACAATCTCTCCATCTGTCACATAACAAATAATGAGGGGAATTTTACAAAAGTGGAGCAGTTCCCATGGCAACGAATCAGCTTCTATCTTTCCTTGTCAAAGCTTAACTGAACAAACTTTAGGACTATAATATTGGGAACTGGGATTTGTTTGTGTCAGGATGTAATGCAATCAGGGCCATCCCTGTAATGAGACAGCCTGAGACTGTTGCATCAGGTGGCATCGCCTGGGGAGGCAGCAGGCAGAGCAGCATGGCTGTTCTTCTGGATAATGTTTGCAGCGTCCCAAGTTGCTAAGAGCCAGGCAGGGAGATGTGTAAGGGCCAAAGACATCTCTTAGTCCAGCTCATAGCAACCTGGGATGCTCATGTCAGCAATTGCCTCAATTCCTGGCAACCAGTTATGTCAATGTTTGCTAGGAGCTTGGCAGGATGCCGACTGTGTCGCCGAGCTCCTGCCAACCATTGACATCATTGCTTGCCAGGAGCTCGGCAGAACACCTGCAAGAGCCTCCAGCCAAGCTCCTGGCAACCAGTCATGTCACTGGTTTTTATTTCAATACAAAAGCAACACGTTTCCCAGCACACTTACCAGCTAGCCCACAAAGAAAACAAATGACACTAACTTTTAGGGTTAAAAACTGAGGTTTAAGTTGCACAACTTTTGCAAAATATGTCGAAGCCATGAGAGGCTACATCTTGGATCATATAAAGCAAAGGATGAATTGGGTGCAGGTTCCCCAGGAGGTAGCCCTTTCCCCCCTTAAAGGCACAGGGACACACCAGAAGCTCAGCACATCACAACAGCAGCTGAAGCCCCTGGTGTGCCCATGCCAACAAGCAATATAAATGCTCAGAAGCCCTGCACATCCATATGCCTTTAAGGAGGAATGGGCTACCTCCTGGTGAACCTGCACCCAATTCATCCTTTGCTACATATGCTCCAAGATGAAGGCTATCACAGATTAGAGTTAGGACCACACTATACATTGATGCCTTGACGAGGCAGTGTGGTTTCCACATATTTTGCAAAAGTTGTGCAACTTCTAACCTTGTCTAACCCTAAAAGTTAGACAGTGTAATTTTTTTTTTTTTGCAGGGTAGCTGGTGAGTGTGCTGGGAAATTTTTTGTATAAAGCCCTTCCATGTGCACCTTACTTTAAAGCTAGTTATGAATTGATAAATGCGTTTGCAATTTGTATTGCTTGTTGGTTATTACCTCAGGCGGCAACAAATCTTGGGACCGCCCTGAATGCAATGCATAGTAATAAAGTAATGACCAGCGGCAAACTTTTGGTGTCATTGGAAAGGAAAAATACTGTGTGGGAAGAAATTTAATTGGGCAGTGCTATAGGAAAAAAGCACAAACTGACCTCATTGCTAATGCCATGGTGCAGGTAAGAAATAAGTGATAATCAATGACGAGTGGAGTGGATAATTTAAGGATTGCCAACAAGCATTTGTGTATTGTTACAGTGCAAAAATTGTCGGCTCTGGGGTAAGTGTGCAGGGTGAATGCTCTCAGTGTCACCATTAACCCCCCCCC